AGGATGAGTGGTACAACACCTTTGAATTTTTCAATCTGAGGCTACTATGTGACCGCTGTATAGAATTTATCTATATTTTGATAAGTTTCATTCCAGACACGATATTCGTAACTATTAATCGCAAATGATTATTTTAAGATCAAATGTCGCTAAATTTCTTTCGAGAAACATTCATATCTGGTATCATAGATGTATCGAAATAGTTTTTATCGAAGCAAAGAGTTCATTTCTGTGTTAAGCACAAGCCATTGATTCAATGCACTGAGATTGAATTCGTCTCACAAATCAGAAAGACGTATTTAATCAATAGATAAATAATGGGAATATATTTTGCTTGTGATCGTGAAATATTTTCCCTGCATCCTACGATCATACCATAATTATTGCTGATATCGACATGTGGCCTGCAAATTCATTAATCAACAAGCATCCACAGTTATGCATCCATTAAACACAATGATATTCATAGAGTAGTAAATACATAAGGTGAAAAGCGAAGAGAAAATAATGCGATTTCTCATGCCAATTTTGACGATGTTTTGATGACAATTAATATTGAATGTCAGTAGTTCTGTCGCACGATTACAATATTTATTTCTATACAAGTTATTTAATACGAGCTACAAGAAAAAAAAATTTTCTTGTCCGAATAAAGTTTAATCTAATATTTGAAACGTGAAAAATACGACAAAATTTTTCATCATGAATCAAGTTTTGAATAAGATTTGATTTTGGAGATTGATTCAATATTATGTACTTGTTTTTATTTCCAATAGAACTTATTATGATTTATTTGTTTATATGACTATTGTCTATTGATCTTATCACTTTTCTATCCTAGTATTTCTTCGATTGACTGATAGAAAGTATGAAAAATATGGACATTTTTATATTTTTTTCTCATCGACAATCAATATTCTCAGTTTATTGTAAATCGAACGATGTCGCTTGAGTTTTCTTTTCATCACACTCATCTGTGTCGGTTTTTTTCTTTTCAAAATATTTTCGATAAAATAAACGAACAATTTTGAATTGAACCATAAAAGATTAGATGAATTCTATTTGACACAAGGATAATCAGATCAAATGCATTTCACAATTGTTTTATCGAGAATATCATTTATTCGATGAGATCATCTCGCTTTGAATTGTCATTTTTTTCATTTTTTGTTCGTTTGAAATCTCTAGTCGAAGATTCATCATGATTGAGTTCATTTTTAGTGAAATAACATTCAAACAACGATTGATTCTTTTAGCATGATGGAATTGGAACTTTTGCCGTAAATCGCATTCTGAAATTGTGCTGACTATCACTTCAGATATTTCTTTGAGATATAAAGAATTGAAGGGACAATAATTAACATCATCGGTTTAAACAAGAAAGACTAACATTTTTATCGAAAAATTTCTCACAAATTATTGTTACAATGAAACAAAACAATTCTTTTCTATAACGGATGAGCAAATCTTTATTGTTGTCTTTCAATTCTAGTGAAAGAATAGTTGGTTCTCTTTCTTTCTGCAATTATTTGTGTACAGAAAAAAACGAAATGCTCAATTTTGTCATTAGTTTAAGAATATATTTCAAACCAACAATATTAATTATTAATTAAAATTTTGAGCTGGTGTTTGTTTGATATCAATTGTGTTGCTTAAAACAAAGTTTAAAGAATCAAAATTACATGCTTTTTTCAATTAGTTTTTGAAGAGATTAAAAAAATCGAATGATTTTTAGATTTAAATCATTGAAGTTTTGATTCAATTGAGAATTGGTTTTCCGAATAACTTGAACAATTTATGATTGTCTAGATTCATATCAATTCGACGAAAAGTTCATTTTCAGTCATTTACCATAGGCATGCATTATTTTCTGTTCTATGCGCCTCTCTGAATTACACTTATATGCAAAGATGTTGTGATTTCGTAAAAGTATTTTACTATGACGCAAAAACAAATGAAAATAATTTTTTCATGACTCAGTCAAGAAAGGTTTTTTTCATATACTATGATCATTCCATGATCTATTATATACATGGTTCATTGAACAGATTAGTATAATAACTGAACAGTTAGAATCAAACTTGGTTGACACGATCTTCAGTCTTATGCTTGTGAGATTCGGTTAAATTTTTGATTATGGAGACAGATCGAAGCACAACGTGAAATAATGGAAATATTAGTTGCCTCACAATTGTGTTCATTCATATATCTAGCACTCATTCTTTTTGTTTTGTGTTTTCATGTTAAGTATCGAAATGCTTTACATTATACTAAGTCACTAAATCTCATGCACTCCAACGGTTAAATAAATACGAAACGTTGTCAATATCAATATTCCATTATAATAATATCTAGAACTGGAACCATATGTGCAAAAAAATGTCAAAAGATGGTATTGCTAATCAACAAAACAAACACTGGTCTGTGGAATAGAGAAAATCGATCGAATCAAATATGTTTATTCGTACAAAATAAAGATATTTCTATTTTCGACTCAAATTAATATTTGTATCATCAAAATTATCATGAGCATTAGTACGATATGTCACATATCGAAAGTCAACTTAAAATCAATAATAGATCGGGAAAATAGGAATTCACTAACAATAATATTAAAGTTTAGAAGGGATGTGGATGTGTTTGTGTGCATGAAGAGAACCAGTATACTCACACCCTCTTCCCGAAGGAGTTAAAAAGACACTAATTTTCTAACTATCAATTATCAACTCCCGACTACGATGACATCATTCCTCCTAATCCTTTAAACGCATCACTATATGGTTATCCCTGTTCAATTCATGAAATCATTCACCCAATTATTTAAGAATCTAACTTATTTCGTCTTTCCAATCAATGAAATTCCGTTTGTAGCCAATGCTCTCATTTCATCTAAAATATATCTTATTGAAATAGCAAAGTACTCTCATTGCCCGGTGAACCAAACTTGCAACTGGTAGGGTTTTTCATTAGTTATGGATGCTCCTAGAAGACTACAAAATCTGTATTAACTTCCTACTTTGATGAACTGCTTGTTCGACATAGATTTTGTTAAGACCCCCATATGTTTACTATATTTGTCACGTTACATTTACTTCATTATCTCTTATGTCTTTGCGAAATATATGCTATAATTGATAAGAAATACAAAAGTAAATTTACAAACAAACTACAATGAAAATTATTAGATTTTATTTCGATAGTATCAATTAATGTCAAGGCGAGTTGATACAATATATTAAGTCTATTATGATGCATTTTCACTTAATAAAAATACTCTGATGCATATTCTCTGACAGAAATAGTCTTCAACATCAGTGAAAAGTGTTTAGTTTGTGAGAAAAATACTTACATGATTATTGTTTTTTGAAAAAAAACCATGAAAAAATTCAAAAAATCGAGAACGGACTAGTAAAGTTAAAGTTGTATCTACCAGTCATTTACCGTCACCGATTACAACTCTGGTACTTTTCTCTTCTTTTTCTATGCGTTATTGGCATTATCTTTGTTCATGTTGCATATGTTTGGTCCTTCTTTGAATAAAACAGGAGTGAGTAATTCGCTCCATCATGCAATACATCTAAGGACTTAAGATTTCAAGATTCAACAGGAGTCTCCACGATTCTGCTATTCACCAATTGTGATTGATATCAATTTATTCTTTCAAACAGATAACAAACTCTCGTACTCTATGTTTATATTCATTACAATGAATTTAATAAAAATGGTTCCTCTTTTCTATTTCATTTGATCATCTAAACCCGTCCTATTACGCTCTGTTAACTGAGTAAGAATCGTGTTAAGATTGGTTCTGAATTCAGACAAGCATGAATCGTCTTTAGCTATGTGTACTGCTTGTTGTATATAATTATAAGCTTTTTCATTTATCCCAAGTTCGAATTCAAGGAGACCATACCTATTTAGCACGGCTGCTAGCTCATCATCAGATCTCAGTTCTTGTAGAGCTGCTTCGAAATAATCTCTAGCAGATGTATAATTGCCTTCTCTCCAATCAATAATACCCATATTATAAAAAAATGTGTAATCTAGAGGCAAGAACCTTGTGAGCTAAAAGTGGTCGCGGTGGAGTTATCTGATTGACATTCGCTTCCGTTGTAAGTTGGACAAACTTTTCTGCTTCTTGTAAATATTTCTGCGCCTTCAAATATTCACCCTGATCGCTGGCTAACGTAGCCTGATGCACAAGGACGACACCACGAATTTCATCAGTAAGATTTTCATCCTGGAGCATGAATTCATAAAAATTACTGCCATTCGCATAATCTCCGAGCTCTTGCAAAATGTTGCCAACGGTCAAATAAGTACAGTCACGTGTCGACTGCTCAATATAGATGATCAGTTGAGGGTCATAATCCGTGCATGATCGAAGCGTAATATACCAAGAATCCGTCATAATTTCTTCCATCGATTCTATTTTCCAAACGAAACCCGTGAACAATAGAATTTCGTTTTCGTGTGAATTTGCACTAAGCTCTTTAATATCAGCGTATGGTCTAATTAATTTGTTCGCTCTAAAATCGATATTCATTTCAAACACAACCCCTTGATAATCATTTTGAGCTACATCAAGTCCAGCAAACACTGTGGCAATATCATAGTTTTTGGTTGTCGAAACTAATCCATTTTAGGCGATAAGGTGTCCGATATTATCTTTGAATTGTTGCACGACATGTCTTGAAAACCTTTTGCCTCGATAAATCGTCTTGATATCTTCGCTCTGATTTAGTCTTCGTTCATTTCCCGTTTGTTCTAATTGTTTATGGAGGTCGGCTAGATAGCAACCAAACTGATAGATACGTTCGATATCCTCCGATCGAAAAGCTTGATTGATAATTCGAAAGAGACATGAGTTGTGAGTATAATAGCGAATTGCCATCTCCGGCTTGTACTCCGCTGTATATTTCCGAATTTTATTCACTTCTACAGGATCGCTTATATAATCTCGACAACAAATGCCCCACATGTGTTGGAAAGCTTTTTGATCATATTGCTTTTTTACAAGTACTTCAATTAGTGATTGAAATAGAAGAAATTTAAGGGATTCATTGCTCAAATCGCAAAATGAGCTCTGTGTAGAAATTGACCTGAACGTATTAAAAAGTGGTGCCTCATCTGTGGAATTTGTTTTATTTTCCGTCTGAATCACGACAGTTGCTGATGACTGTTCAGCTTGGTGAAGACCCTTAACAATAGTATCGAAACTTGTCTTTAGAAAAGACTGAACAGATGCAATATTTGGAAGCGTCGATAACTCATTCCATTCAAGTTGTAATCGATACAAGCCTCGAGATTGACCACGTCGTTTAACCATCTTTTCAATAGAATCTGCTTCCGTCTTATTCTTGATACTTAAGATGAAAACCATACGTTTAATTACGAGTTTACTACCAAGGTAGCTTGCTAAATCTTGTTTTTGGTTGAAAATACGTGAATAAAGAAAGTTCTTATACAGATGCATCTTCATTTGACGTAGAACATCAACCGAGATTTTGTTATCATGATACCATATGCTCATTAAATGTAGATCACTTGCCAATTGTTCCGGACGTCCCATTTCAGAATCAAATAATATTTGATGTTCTACACAGATTTTGTTCGGAAGAAATAATCGAAGATATTTTCACTCGATAAAGATTGATGCAATAATTAAGTTAGTGATCAAATCTACAAATTGAAGATCAGCAATGAGAATGAAGAAAAACGAAAATCATAAGGATCTTTTCAAACAAAAAAAATCTCAATCAAATTTTTGAAAGTCATTAGACGATAAAATCTTATCGATTTTAGCTTGCTAAAGCTCGCGTGACACTGCATCTGGTTCCATACTCAATGCACGACGATAATATTCAAGTGCTGTTTTCTTATTGCCTTGAAGATAACTGATTTCTGCTATTTTATTTAATATTTTAATGTTATTGACAAATGATGACTGAGGAGATAAGACTCGTAGAGTATGCAGGTAGCTTTGTTCAGTTGCTATTGACAAATCATTGACGAGCGATTTCGATGCTTTTTGAAAGAATTCCAATGCTTTTCTATTGTTTTTCATTTCTGCATACATTAAGCCCATGTTGTTGTAGATGGATGGGAGGCATGAATGATTGGATGGAAGTACAAACAAAAGGTATTCATAATAGTTTTTTGCAGCATCATATCGTTTGAAAGTAGTCAAGTAATGGCCGAATGTCAACCATGTAAAATGACCCCCGATCTCGAATCGAAGTCGATCAGTGATGCTTTCCATGGTGCCATTGGTTGACTCGAGTTGAGCATGCCAGACACTATCGGGTGCTGATTCTGTAGAAATTAATCGAAATAGAGTACCAAGACTGAAAATGACCGTGTGTGGATCCAAATCCACTATAGATGCTTGATCGAATAATTTTAGTCCCAAAAGAACCGCATTGAGTTGATTGTCAACTGCTTGACGGCAAACATCAACTATAGAGTGAGACGAACGTGAAGCCAAAATAAAACCTTGTATAGCGAGTAGAGTATTTGGATTATCTTGTAACATTTTAAAATCTGTTGTTAATACTACTTGAGCTCGATAAACAGTATTAGAAGATGGATCGACGTTTTCCGCTAAGGATACGATTCTTTGATTGATTTCTTTCAAAGTTGTTACCGAATTTCGTAATGTAGGGATGTTGAAATCTTTGAAAAGATAATTAATGTTTGTATTTGCTTCAATTAGATTACTAAGAAGATGATCATCATTCCATGCGTTACGATAAGTAGTCGTACTCGAGTCAATTGGTAAATCTGATAGAATGTCGCTAAATAGCTGAAAGCACAAAGAGTTCACCTGGTATTCGTTAAGATTGTCGAGAATATTTAACTCCAGTCTGAAAATATTCACATTCGGTAAACGAAGCCGAAGCTGACGATAGAAACAAATGTATGTGATGAGTTGATCTAGCAGATCTTCATTGAGAAGAAATATACCACTCAATTTCGGATAAGTTGGCATTTTCTGCATTAGTTCATTGGGTTCAAGATCTGCCACAACAGAGACTGCATGAACAGGATTGAGTTCAACTACGGTTTGAATATTCTGGAACTTGCTCATTGAAATAATCAGATAAATATGAATTGAGCTGTTATCTCGCATCGATTGAATGCATTGTTCAATATCATAGAATTCGTTTATCTTAATGTCACTATGCGAGAGATGAAATGGTCGACGTAGGCCGAGAAATAATGTGAAAATGCAAATCGTGTTTAAATCGACTTTGAACGTATGTTCGATGGGAATTAACATGTCAGTTTGATTCGTCTGAGAACATAGTTCAGCCAATAACGTTTTGGATCTTGACCAACGTGAAGGACGTTTCATAATAGAATCAATATCTTCTATGATTTGTTTCGTTAATAGATCAATGGAAGATTCATTACAACGAATTTTTGAACAGTCTTGAATCCAGTCAGTCAACTTCTCATCAGAATCTTTATATATATAAATCTTTTCAACACATATGTGATTGTGTATCAGCGGTACAACGCAGTCAGCCAGTGTGATTGGTGTGACAACATAAATTAATTTATCTTTAACTGAAAATATTTTCGCAATACAGAGGCATTCATCAGCGAATAATTCGAATTTGATATTTGTATATTTATTCAATACATTCGATGGTAATGTTACATTTAGAGAGATGATGAGAACGTTGATATTGCGTTGGAAAGTTTTATTTTGCAGGAGTGTATCTAGAAGAAAAACTAAAGCTAGATGCGGGTGCATTACACTGTTCTCTTTCTCAATTGGAAAGATTCGAACACGGAATGTCAAGAAAAATGGACGCTTTCAAACTTGTCATTTTGTGCAACTATTTCTTCTGTCAAATGTTAAACTTTCAGGCAATGACAATTTATGAGATTTCTTTATTGATAACTTAAGAAAAGATAATACTCTATACCTACCTCCATTAACAAAATTTCCATCGACACATTCGAGGCTAAGACCAAGGAGATCGTTGCAACAAATTGATGGAGATTCCACAACGATTCGTTTGCTTGGTGTTTGATACTAAGAAACAGCATTTATCGAGACATATGTAGATATTTCAATCACAACGTTGATTTTACCTTAACGAGTTTCACGTGTTCTGTTAAACGCGTGACTGGATCTCGACTCTGCTCGATTGACGTGACTAATAACAAGAAATAGTCATTAAAGTGAATCATGACATCTCTGACGTGTTTACTATGAGACGTACCTGGTGTTTTTGAAAGAAGCTGTTTGTCACAAGAGATCAATCCTGGACTTTCAGATATTTCCCTATAAATACGTAGCATCGTATTGAGAGTGTGTTGTAGATGTAGATGCTGATATACGTGAGTGCGGGTAGAATGCAGGCCTCTTCCCTACCTGCCTTTCTCATTCCAGTACGAAATCTAGTTCGGAATTTATAGTGTTGTATATATGGCAATATCTCTTTTCCGAATTTTTAGGAATTGTATTGACAATTTCTGTGAAGTTCTCATAATATAAAAGTCTCCCTCCACTTTATTCAATGTGATCAACTGGCCAGTTTTCTTAATTTAATTTGATTTCATTTCAGTTAACTATGAAAGTTGATTAAACTTAACCAGGTTCACAGAGATAACTCATATATCCATATTCGCCAGTAATTGGCAACCGCCATCATTCTGCAAAAATCAGCGAACGATAACTTTTTATGATCAAAAAAGTAATTATTTAAAGAATGAAGAATTGTGCATTTGACTTTTCATGATCGAATATAGGAAGGTAGTGAATTACTCCTTTTTCTTGGAACAGTTTGATACTTTCCACGAAGAAGCACGTAATAATTAGTGTATAATCAGAGTAGCTTCAAACTTCAAAATTACATATGCAAAAGAATACTCAGTTTAATTACTCGGTCGTAACAGAACAGAGGCTACAGAGGGGGATGTTCATAGAATGCTTGTAGCCCCCTGGAAGCAGTGAAGTTCTGATTCGAAAGATACTTGTGCCCCCTCTAGACGTTGAGCAAAGTCTTCACCAGTGATGATTAGGCTGGAGGCTAACAGAAGCATGCTAGCCACAGTAGCGGGAAGTTTTCATTGTTATTAGTTGAAATAACCCGAAAACAAATAAGTCCTTAGAATATGAAAAGTTTTTTCAAAATTACAGAAATAAATGATATTTTTGTCTAATAAAGTGTTAAGTAGAATTAGAATTTTTTTTTTCTGTACTCTGAAAAAAAAAGGTTCTATGCAGAACCAAAAAGGGCTAAAAATGGTTTCGTGCGTGCTACGGAACTTAAAAATAGTTTCGTACGTACTAAGTAACTTAAAAAAGGTTTTGAGATTTGCAACGAAATCTAAACCTTTTTGAAGGTTTCGCAGATTTTCATCGAAACCTTAAAAAAAGTATCCTAGACTCTCTATAAGTCTTTTGGAAGTAACTTAGGTCCATACGAAACCTCTAAGAAGGTTTCGATTTCGTTGCAAATTAAGTTCCGTGTGGAACCTTTTTTTTTCAGTGTAGGATGAGTACCGATTATAAAGTCATAGTTGATGGAAATATTCTCTAACCTTTTGTTTGGTTAACATTTTAGGAAATCTTCAAGTCTGAAGGTTTAATTTTTTACAAAATGGTTGCGAGCGTGGCCGCCGTCGGCAGCAAATATTTTTAAAAAGTTTCATAGCTGATATTTAATGAGGTTAGTTTTTCAATGAAGCGAGAAGACATAATGGAATTTTATCAATCTACAAAAAAAATATCTCACTGGAAAGTAGTGTTGCTTGCATAAGCATAAGCGATGATCAAAGACTTACACCCAGATCAACGAAAATTAGTTTATCGCAGTTTTAGAAAGTATGGTTTGGATCAATAGTTCGAAGCATAAATGCTTTCGGTGTCAAAAGCGCTAAGATTTTTAAGAAATTCTTCCGAAAAGTATTTTTCTTTGAAAATATGATATAAGATTGATCGTTTTTTAAATGTGCAAAAGCCTTCTGACTTAAAGATTTTTCTTGCACTATACATCGAGAGGAACTACCAGTAGTTAAGCTAAAAAGTGTGAATGCTTCTCTAACGTTAATAGGTCAGAACTCCTCTTCCACCCCTTCTCCTCCTTCACTTCTTCCATTGCACATTTCGATATGACCTTCTCAAGCTTTTAATGCTTTCTTCATAGGATAATATACATTGAGCTGTATTCGATACACATAAGAAATCCTGAACGAGACATATTACTACTTTAAACACATTTTATCTCACGCGAAAAATATTCACGCGATTCTCCCCGAGTTTCGAGGGTCCGATTATCCGCTGGTCTTTGTCAATCTCTCGAAATATGACCGGGGGGCTGAGTCCCCTCTACAGCTCTTTCTGGTTACGCCCCTATTCCAGATAGTCCCGAAAAAGTTACAAAAATGGTTATTAGGTATCGTACAAAAAGTTATTGGGAAGCTCACCAATCACTACGGATTGATCAGTTCATATTATAAATACGTTGAACTACATCGGTTTTTATCAGAAGAAGTCTTCTAACGATTTTTGTGATCGGAACTGATATGATAGGACAGTTTAGTTTCTATTAGAGGATCTGTTTCAAGAGATCTCGTGATATGATCTGGCCTATTCGAACAGTTCAGTTCAGATCAAAAGAACTGTTGGAACAGTATTTGTGATAGAATCTGATATGTCGCACCTCATCTTTCACTTCTGTGATCTGACCCTTTAACTGACAGTGGTTGCCCCCTAGTAAAGGCATCAAAACAAGTGAGAAAAAAATAAGTAGCAAAAAATGATGAAAAAATAAATAAATTTCCATCAGGAAACTTGTGATTACCTTAATTTTTTTTCGTGTCAGTGATATATGCATTTAATATATCAAACCTATCATCTTCTTCTCGTGGATAAGCTTCCATAATTTTTCGAGCTAATTGAAATTGTTTCTGCTTGTCATAAATACGACCAATATTCGTATGATAATCAACTAAATCCAAATGGTCGGGTAGTAAGCGTTTCTTGCCAATTACCAATGCTTGTTTAAAATATTCAAATGCTTTTTCATCGTTGTTGATGTTTTCATAGAAAGTACCTATCGCATTCAACGTTGATGCTATTAAAGGATGATTTTCTGGCAGTCGCTGCATTTTATTCTTTAAAACCAGTTCAAGTCTTTTCAAAGTACTTGTATTATTACTATATTGTGTTTGAATTTTCGCGTTCAGACCCTCTACTGTGGCTATGAGTAATCTATCCTTTGTTTGTGAGGACTTGGATAATGTCTCCTCGACTTGTCTTAGTCGTTCTTTTGTATTTCGACTCTCTCCTAATGCTAAATAAGTCAAACCAAGAATACAATAAATAGCAATTACTCAAGAAATATTGTGACAACTCAAGCGAGAATAAATATCAAGAGCTTTCTCATAACATTCAACAGATTGTTCTAGTTGATCTGTAAGTTTATAAGTGAGACCAAGTAAGTTGTAAGCATCTCGAAGTCCTACATCATTCGATGGAAGTTGTGTAAGCATCAATTTTACATAATGTTCAGCTTCGTCAAATTTACCTATTCGAAAAAGAAACCAACCGAATAACAATGGATCTTGTTTCGATCCAATTTGTTTCATCACGTGATCCGAAATATTTTGATTAAGTTTGTTTTGTTCTTTACTTAGTGGTAAATGGTCATGCTACATATTGCCGTGTTATTCAACCAAATGAACTTTAAAAATAGTACTTATAGTAAAAAGTACTTCTTCTTCATTATTATCTGGAGAACACGAATAGCTTTTTAGAATTGCAAAGGGTGTCATTTCTTTATTACTCATATTATTAATATCAACTGTGAAAAGAACCGATTGTAATCGTGATGATTCATTCCATTGATCTATTGCATCTGCAAAAAGTATAGCAACATTTTGATTCAATGTTGCACTTAAGAAACTATTCATTGAAATAAGTTCATTTATATTATTTTTGAGTAAATCAAGTTCTGTTATACTTAAACGTTTACCACGATAAACTGTTAATTGATGATCCATAATAGAAGAATGAGTATCTAAATATTGATGGTAACTTTGTTTTATTTGATTGCAAAGATCATTGATGAAAAATCGAAATTTAAATATAATTTCAGTATTTTGTGTGCGTAAAGGTTTGTTTAATAATCGACATACAAAACTATCACGTGTATACCACCAAAATGCTCTCATTGGAGAATAATTTTGTTCAAAATAATTTATTTTCATTTGTTTGGCTGCGTCATGATAATAACTTACTCGAAATTCAGCGATCACTTTATCTTTTGAATTACCATAGTTTGTCATTAATCGAACAACTATCAGTATTAGGTGATACCAAATAAATGTTGCATTTTCATTAGTTAATTGTTGAAGTGTATTTTCTCGTTCGGCAAGGTGAAATACACTCATTGGTAAATCTTCATCTTTTTTTACACACACCAACATCATCACAAACTTTACGTGATAGTGATTGCTTTTTTGTAAATATACCATAGATTTTTGCATATGGTTTAGCCCATGCTTCAGCTGCTCGTAGCTTACCACAATATATGTATATCGCTTGTATGTTTGGCATAGCATATATAAGTGGTATAACATGCCTACCAAATGCATGAGAAACAATAAGAAATACTCATTTTATCGGTTCGTCGATTATATCATCAATACATTTATCCGGGTCATCAAATGTTAATAAATTACCTCTAACCAGTTGTCGTAAAAGTAGTTTTGCATCTTGATGATTTCTGTTGTTTTCAATATTACGATCTAACCAGACGACAATGAAGTCGTTGGTTAAATTATTTTTAATTTTATCTGCCATTTTTTTTACATCCATGTGACTACAAAAACAGATTTACCTTGATTGCTTTGCCTTGTTGTTAGCTATGCGTTTGATTTTTTTTCTATAAACGAGACGATATAATAGATTGAATTTTTTGTCAAGATAGATGGGTGTCAGTGTGTATGCGCTATTCTTTTTCCTTCGTGCAATGCTTTCTTGCGATATATGACAATTTTGTAGATGTTTTTTCTCACCTTTAATATAGAGTCAAAATCCCTGATAACGACACCAAAAAATTCACTTACTTTGTTGGGGGTGGGGTGGGTGTTGGTAAAAAGAAGATTCACACCCACATCCACACCCACACCCCAACACCCACACTCTCTGAACGTGCATTCACACACAGGCAGATTCTGCACTTCTGATTTTGAGACGATTTCATTTGAGAAGTTGCAGCAAGTTCATCATTAGTGACCGATGCATACGAATCAAATGATTGTAAAACAACATTGTCATTATTGATACCCATCATCAAGGTTCGAATGTATAGACTTACTCTTATTTTGAGCAAATGAAGAAAAATAAGAATCATGAGTCTCTCTCTTATTATTTTGCATGAATTAACGTTTTGTACTCTGTGAAAAAGTATAATATTGTGATAAAAAATGCATGTGCCCAACTATTCACTGTTTACGAGGTATAATGAAATTAACCATTCTTGTGTATGTGCATCTTTTAAAATATATTGCTTTTTGATTTTACACTAATTTTTACACTCGTGTTTATAAGAAGTGTCAAAAAGTTCAAAGAAAGAGTAATCATCGATTGGCTTTTGATATCCTATTACATGGAAATAAAATATACAACACTGCATTCTTCAAATGCTAAGTTATTAATTATCAAAATTATACGAATAGAAACTTTCGTAGGAGGACTGAGCTCCCTCTAGCCCCTATCTGAATACACCACTATTTGAATAATTCGTTTATCTCTGTAAACGCACCCACACCCAATGTTGAAAAGAGTTTGCTTCTATTGAATGCAAGAAGGATGAATTTTATAAATCGTTTCACTACTTCTGAGACATTCCGTATATTGTATTTTGTGCGTTATGGCAAACGTTTTGCAGAAGAAGCGAATGAAAGAGTTTCATCTATAAAAAGACGTTTTCTTCTAAGAAAACTCAATTTTGAAAAATGTTCATATCTCAAAATACGGTGTGAAGTATGTGGCTTTCTTGAGAAGTTAGTATATCAAGAACAAAATATTCCTTCTACCTAAAAATTTCAGAATATTCTCAGGAGCTTTAAATGTATATATGAATGAACTTTTATCTTATCTCATTGGACTCTACTTTTTATGAGTAGAAGAATTAACAATTAGAACCAACAAAAATATGTCTCTTAGATTCCTAATTAGAGTCATTTGCCCAATTCTATTCGTATAATCGCTATTCTTGACGAATATATGTTTTTTAATATTCTTTATAACTTTGTAAATGTTACTGCTTCTTTTACATGAAGTGCATTCACGTCTAGAGTAGTGATCGGTCAACATTATTTCCATCACGTGTACCAGATTCAACTTGTCGTTCAGTTTCTTCATCCATGTCAACGTCATCATCTATCATCTTATTTGAATCCTAGTTAAAAACAAAAAGCAAAGAATCGAACCATTTTGTCTTGGTATTAACTAGTTACTTCAAGTTTTCTCATGAGTACAGCAACAACAATATTGATCAGTACAAATTGAGTGATAAGAACGAAAATAACAAAATAAATAGGTGAAATTATTATCATAAAGTGATTTTTGCCAGCATGAGGTGAATCATCTTGACGTAAAGTATCCTTTAAAATAATATTTATGATTAAAAAAGAACAAATTGTTTTTTTTTCAATCACTTACTTTCATAATACCATTCCAATTATCACCTGTTGCAACACGAAATAATGTAAGAAGAGCTATGCCAAAGTTTTTAAAATGTGCATGTTTATCGAGACCACTACATGGTTGTTCTTCACTGCATTCTAATTTTCCAAATAATTCAACACCAAGTGTACCAAAGATAAAGAAAAGAAGAAAGAATAGAAGACCCTAATTTAAAAGAATAAGAAAACATAAAACAAATTCTTCAAAAACAACCAAATAATTCGATTTACTAAATTTCCAACTTGTGGAAGAGCTTGAATAACAGTATCTAATAGAGCTCGAACACCTTCGGCCATTTTCAGTAGCTTGAGTACTGAAGTAGAAAAGAAAAAATCTTTTATTCGGTTTACTCCGTTCATTTACCTCGCGCAATTCTCAATACTCTGATCACACGAATAAGTGTAGGATTTATTGGAAGAATATGTCCACTTAACATATTCTCCATTACAATACTAACTATTGATACAACTACAATAAACGAATCCAGCTGATTCCATCTTAAAACAAAAATCAAATAAAAAAAATCCCAAATTTATTTTTTCTTTACTTGTCTTTAAAATAACGTGAAGGTCCAAGTGCAACAATTTTCCATATAAATTCAATTAAGAATACAACTGTAAATACATAATTACAATATTCAAGAAACTTATCCAATTTCTAAAAACAAAATATTTTTTTCAGTATAAACAATTAATGAATCATTTTTGTTTTTCCTTACAGATGGCATAGGATAAAATTCAAGTGACATTGTAACAACATTAACACCAATAATAGCAGCAATAATTAAATCAAAATATTTACTAACGCATAGATCATGTAAACATTTACGCCATGGTGAAAAATGTGCATAATACGATAATTCACGCATACGACGTTGTTTACGTTCAATTTTTTTTGCATATTTTGCTTTATTTTGAGTTTCTTCCTCAAGTTCTTGCTGGGCTCGACACTTATGAAAATTTTCAACAACAACACCAACGAACATATTAAGAACGAAAAAGCTGACAATTAAAATAAATGATATAAAATAAATTAATTTTGATTCACTATAATTCCTTATTGGTTGCATTTCAACATCAACTGCATCAATACCATTATACATTATTTGTACCCAACCATCTTTTGATGAAAGAACAAATAATGTCAGTAGGGCCTAAATACAAGTAAGCAATTAAACAAAATTATCTTAATGACAAAAGTCTATATGATAACATACTTGACCCAAATGATCAAAATTGTATTGTTGATTTTGCCATCGATGATCGGGCATAGCTTCACATTGTTGTTTTGTTTTTACATCATCAGCAAGGGGACCTTCGCAATAGTAAAATTTACCTTTGAAGAGCTAAAAAAATAAATTTTAAAGGTAAATAATGAGATCGAAGAACTGTGATAACGCATGAAAAAAAGTGTTGTTCCGTCTGGTCAAAAATCCAAGATTTCTTATGTCAAATTTGAGAAATGCGGAACCACAAATTGTCATCTGCAACAATTCTGCAGTATCAAGATATGAAAAAAAAAGCCATTATCTACGTGGATGACGTTCGACTAGTCAGGTTGAAAAGCTCCATAAATCGTTGGGACTTTAAGCAAAAATTCAGCAACCGGCTTTCCAGTTTCCGCCTAAACTGAGCATAAACGATCACCGGATTTCGCTTCCATAGTTCATCTGTTTTCGAAGATTTTCGACTAGACACCATCCATTAGAATTAGTCCTGTCCCGTTTCAAGGCCATACGATATAAGGCAATACCTTCTCGAATCTCTACCATATGGAATTATTTTTACCGTAAGAAATAATAAAAACTTAATGTTGCTTAGCTTTTAGAGCTCGAAAAGAAGATACGAACAACGCTCTCTTATTTCCATTCCAGCTATTTCGGAAATATGAAACGTGCGCGAGAGATCATTCAGACAAAAGTACAATGTCTGAAAAATTTGATTCCTAAATTTTGAATAGCAGTCGCTTCTCAGAAAACAAGAATTTTTTCAGTATATTCTTAAATGAAACTTAAAACGTCGCGAAAAATGAATTCAGTAAAACTATTGACTAGATTTCTAATATACTCCAGATGAGTATCGAACTTTATCCATAGAAATCACAAAATTATTTTTATATTGTCGTATAACAACTTCAAAAGTAAATTATTTTGAACTTTTTATATCGAGCTGCATTTCTTTCTTTTACCTGAACACCAAGAATGCCAAAGATGATAAAGAATATACAACAAATGATAACAATATTACCAATTGGTCTTAATGATGAAAGTAAAGTTCGAACGACAAGTTTAAGGCCGGGTGCTCGATTGATAACTAAAACGATATAATGGAAAAATCAATCAAAAGAAAAGAAAAAACATCTTTTCCAACCTGTGAGTGCTCGTAATGTTCGTAATAAACGAAAGACTCTTAACATTCCCAGAATATGTGATGTTGCATCCGACTGTGTGGGTAACGTAATTCGACCTCGATTCATTGCACAAAGATCGACAATTGAAACAAGTACAAGAAATCCATCCATAATATTCCAGCCGGTATGTAAATATGTATTCGGTCCAAAAATAAATCCACTTGCAATTACTTTGATCATCATTTCAATAGTAAACACAGCTGTAAATATATAATTGGTGAAGTTTAAAAATTGTCGTTCCTACAAATATAATTGCAATCGTTAGCTTTTAACTTGAAAATAAAAACAA